CTGGAAGTGCACCAGCCAGTCACTGTCCACACACGAAGACGGACAACTTGCTAAGGAAGCGCGGGAGGTGATCCTGTGCAAATGGTCTGCGGGTCGGTGGGGCTGGCTGCTTCAGGGCACCCTTTCTCTGGATAGGAATCCTCCTGGAGTCTCGTCTCTGCTCTCGGAGCTCCCTTCCTGCTGGTTTCAGGACCAAGGGAGAGACTGTGGTGTGGCTTGGAAGGCTCCACCCCAGCCTCCTTCCTTCCGCACACATCACTGCTCCCCAGGAAGCAGGGGCTGTTGCTCCCACATGCCCTGCGCAAGGCTGGTTTAAGGCACTCATTCCCTCCAAGGCCCAGCCGCTCTGGCTCCATCACATACATCGTGGCCACAGCTGCCTGGCTGGGTGAGGAGTCCAGGAGAGCTCTCCTTTCCCAGGATCAGGGTTCATATTCCTGGCCAGAGAAAGAAGTCCCATCTGTCCTCTGCTAGAGAAGGTGAATTCCTGGGCCGGGTGGCCCTCAGGTGCCTGAGGACATGGGGGTCCCCCGCAGGTCCCCTGGAGAGAAGGGTGACGGGCACCCCTGTCTGGGAGAACAGTGAGCAGCACCCATCCCAGGCCGCAGGTGCACCCATCACCTGGCAGTGCTTGGCCTCAGGCTCACCCCCGGAAACTCTGGCCCGGTTTTTCACAGATGTGTTTTCAGGAGTGTTCAGCACAGCAGTGGTGGAGAGAGCAGGGAATAGAACAACAGTAATGCCCAAGGAGATGGATGGTGGCTCAGTCCGTTAAGCCGCTGACTCTTGATTTTGGCTCAGGATGTGATCTCATGGTGTAGGATGGAGCCCCATGTAGGGTCTGTGTTCAGGGCAGCGTGGGCTCACGATTCTCTTTTCCACCTCCTGCCTCTCCTACCACTCCCGTGCCACACTCTCTCTCTCTAAAATACATTAATAAAATCTTTATAAAAGTGGAATCCTACAGAATGTACTTTTAAAAAGTTGTAAAAAATCTGTCATATGATTTCACTGATGTGAGTAATTCTTAATCTCAGGAAACCAACTGAGGGTTGCTGGAGTGGTGGGGGGTGGGAGGGATGGGGCGGCTGCGTGATAGACATTGGGGAGGGTATGTGCTATGGCGAGCACTGTGAATTGTGTAAGACTGTTGAATCACAGACCTGTACCTCTGAAGCAAATAATACATTATATGTTAAGAAAAAAGAAGATAGTAGGCAGGGAAAAATGATGTAATGTATGGTGATTAACATAATAATAAAAGGGAAAAAAGTTGTAAAAAATCATAACATTGATTTTGCCATTTTAACATTTTCAGTATAAAGTCCGGTAGTGTTAAGTATATTTATACTGCTGTGATGCATATCTTGAGAACATTTCATTTGCAAATCTGAAATTCTGTACCCATTATTTGTTTTTCATGTAGAAAGCATATTTATTTATTTACTTATTTAATTATGCTCAATTAGCCAACATATAGTACATCTTTATTTTTTGATGTATTGTTAAATGACTCATTATTTGCATATAACACCCAGTGCTCGTCACAATATGTGACCTTCTTAATACCTATCACCCAGATACCCCATTCCCCCACCCCCTCCCTTCTGTAACCCTCAGTTAGGTTCCCGGAGTCCAGAGTCTCTCATGGTTTGTCTCCCTCTTTGATTTCTTCCCATTCAGTTTTCCTTCTCTTCCGCTATGGTCCTCCATGCTATTCCTTATGTTCCACATATGAGTGAAACCATATGGTAACTGTCTTTCTCTGCTTGACTTATTTCACTTAGCCTAATCCCCTCCAGTTCCATCCACGTCAGTGCAAATTGTAGGTATTTATCCTTTCTGATGGCTGAGTAATCCCTTGTATATATGGACCACATCTTTATCCATTCATCTGTTGAAGGGCATCTGAGCTCCTTCCCCAGTTTGGCTATTGCAGACATTGTTGCTATGAACATTGGGGTTCAGGTGCCCCTTCTTTTCACTACGTCTGTGTCTTTGGGGTAAATACCCGGTAGTGCAATTGTCAGGTAGTAGGGTAGTTCTATTTTTAACATCTTGAGGAACCTCCATACTGTTTTCCAGAGTGGCTGTACCAGCTTGCATTCCCACCAACAGTGTAAAGAGGGTTCCCCTTTCTCCACATCCTCAGAACATCTGTCATTTCCTGACTTGTTCATTTTAGCCATTCTGACCGGTGTGAGGTGGTATCTCATTGTGGTTTTGATTTGAATTTCCCTGATGGCTAGTGATGTTAAACGTTAGTCATTTTTATGTCTTTTTTGGAGAAATGTCTGTTAATGTCTTCTGCCCATTTCTTGATTGGGTTATTATTATTAGTATTATTATTTTTTGGGTGTTGAGTTTGAGAAGTTCTTTCTAGATCTTGGGTACCAGCCCTTCATCTGTAATGTCATTTGCAAATATCTTCTTCCATTCCATGGGTTGCCTCTTGGTTTTGTTGACTGTTTCGTTTGCTGTGCAGAAGCTTTTTATCTTGATGAAGTCCCAAAAGTTCATTTTTGCCTTTGTTTCCCTTGCCTTTACAGACATGTCTTGAAAGAAGTTGCTGTGGCCGATGTCAAAGAGGTGACTGCCTCTGTTCTCCTCTAGGATTTTGATGGACTCCTGTCTCACATTGAGGTCTTTTATCCATTTTGAGTTTATCTTTGTCCATGATGTTAGAGAATGGTCGAGTTTCAATCTTCTGCATGTGGCTGTCCAATTTTCCCAGCACCATTTATTGGAGAGACTGTCTTTTTTCCATTGGACATTCATTCCTGATCTGTCAAAGATTGGTGGACCATAGAGTTGAGGGTCCATTTCTGGGGTCTTTATTCTGTTCCATTGATCTATGTGTTTTTGTGCCAATACCATCCCGTCACAGATTTGTAATATAGATTGACGTCAGGCATTGTGATGCCCCCAGGTTTGGTTTTCTTTTGGAACATTTCCCTGGTTATGTATCCTTGGCTGCATGTTCTCATTTAGTACTGTGAATATGTCTTTCCAGCTCTTTTTCGCCTGCAAAGTCCCTATGGACAGGTCTGACGTTATTCTGATGTTCCTCCCTCCGTACATAAGAAATCTGTTCCCCCTGGCTGCTTTCTGGATTGCTTCCTTGGTTCTAAGATTTGCAAGTTTTCCATTTTTAATTCTAATAGTGTATTTATAGAATACTTTGGATTTTCTATGTACACCATCATATTATCTGTAAATAGTCACAATGATCTCCTCGCTTCTTATTCTTTTTGTTTCTCTTGGCTTATAACACTTGGGAGATTCTCCAATGGAATGTTGACCAGAGTAGCATTGCTTGAAGATTTTAATATACCTTTCTCAATATCTGATAGAAAAAGCAGACAAAACATTGGTAAGACATGTGACCTAATTGACATATATGGAACATTACAGAGTAAGTGCAGAATACATTATTTTCAAGTGGTGCTAGAATATTTATCCAAATAGACGATATGTTGGGCCATGAATCAAGTCTACACATTTTAAAAGCCTGAAATTAACTAGGTTATATTCTTAGACTACAGGGAATCGAGCCATAGTCATAATGAAAAGAAAAGCAGGAAGTCCCTCAATGCTTAAAACTTAAATGTAAATTTGCTACATATCCTAAGTGTCAGAGAGGGAATCACAATGGAAAGTCTCGATCTTTCCTACATCAGAGCTCACAGACAATGGCATTCTATCCATGAAGAGCACTATAAATAAGGTAGACAGGAGTTGAGCCTTAAGTCCGAGTTCTGCCTGCCTCAGCCACACCTGGCAGCCTTGGCATGTGGTCGCCCCCAGCTGCCCTTTCTGGTAGCCCTGAGCTAAGGGGGACAACATAGCCATATGGAAATGGGAAGCTCCCCACTCCTAGTGACGATGGTGCTATTGTATTGTCCTCACCAGTCCAACAAGATGATTTCTGAGTGAAACATGACACAATAGCAGCTTCTTGACCTTCCTTAAGGTTTGAAAATCATCTTGTGAGTCATCTATCAGAAATATGGTTTCAACATGTGTCCTTTTTTCTGGAAAAGAAATAGATCCAAATAGTAATTATGGTTTCTGAGCACCTGCCCTTGAGCTCCATCACACTGCTCTTTGTGGAATTCTCCCTCTTAAACTTCTAAACTATGATGTAGGTATTTTTAGTCACATTTTCTAGATGGTTAGACGGGGGCTCAGAGACGATACGAGTCACGGAGGATTTTAGTGTCAGAGACCTAAGTGGGATCTCCAAACTGACTCCAAATCCCTTGTTATTCCATACACGGAACTCTTTCCCTGTTATCTCTGGTCTTCTCCATCTGGAAACATATCAAGTACCAGGATTTTCTTGTTGTGTGGCCAACTGGAATGAATTCAGCCGGCCTTTTATTTTTTATTTATTTTTTATTTTTTATTTTTTTACATTTGTTTTTTTTTAAATTTTATTATGTTATGTTAATCAACATACATTACATCATTAGTTTTTGATGTAGTGTTCCATGATTCATTGTTTGCGTATAACACCCAGTGCTCCATTCAATATGTGCCCTCTTTAATACCCATCACCAGGCTAACCCATCCCCCCACCCCCCTCCCCTCTAGAACCCTCAGTTTGTTTCTCAGCGCCCATAGTCTCTCATGGTTCATCTCCCCCTCCGATTTCTTTCTTTCTTTTTTTTTTTTATTCTTATGTTAATCCCCATACATTACAACATTAGTTTTAAATGAAGTGTTCCATGATTCATTGTTTGTGCATAACACCCAGTGCTCCATGCAGAACGTGCCCTCCTCAATACCCACCACCAGGCTAACCCGTCCTCCCACCCCCCTCCCCTCTAGAACCCTGCCTGCCCTTCAGAGTCCATCGTCTCTCATGGTTCGTCTACCCCTCCGATTTCCCCCGCTTCATTCTTCCCCTCCCGCTACCTTCTTCTTCTTCTTCTTCTTTTTTTCTTAACATATATTGCATTATTTGTTTCAGAGGTACAGATCTGAGATTCAACAGTCTTGCACAATTCACAGCGCTTATCAGAGCACATACCCTCCCCAGTGTCTATCGCCCAGTCCCCCCATCCCTCCACCCCACCCCCCACTCCAACAACACTCAGTTTGTTTCCTGCGATTAAGAATTCCTCATATCAGTGAGATCATATGATACATGTCTTTCTCTTTTTGACTTATTTCACTCAACATAATACCCTCCAGTTCCATCCACGTCGTTGCAAATGGCAAGATCTCATTCCTTTTGATTCAGCCGGCCTTTTAAACTATGCCCATCATGATCAGTGGAGGACCTTTGAGTAAGATACTCCAAGATCTCTAGGTATAGAGACATTATAATCTGCTTGAGATCTTCAAGTTACTGAAAGAACTATCTTTTTTTTTAATTGATTCAGGCTCTAGTATGTTCAGAGTGTGCTGTAAGACAGGTCTGAAATAGTATTTAAAAACACTCAGCTCAGCCTCTTCTACAAAGTGAGACAGTGCTTATAAACATTGCTAAAATAGTCCCTTAGCTATGATTACTTACTTCCCAACCATCGTAGTGTTTATATGGTATGACTATGACTTAACATTAGTCAAAATCTGCAAGGAAAGAACTGAGACAGTGTATGAAAGCTTTAGGGGCACTTCATGTTTCCATTAGTGTTGTGAAAATGAGCTACTCTGTTTTATTCTATAGTCCAAGGGAATGGTGCCAGACATCTCTGAGATGTCTAGGAGTTCTAAAATTCTGACTTTAAATTATCTGTGTGCTTCAGAGATTTGGGCAGGAGAAGGGGAAGAGCCCAGCATCTGTGAACACCTCTGTTACCTGTGTTGACCGTGGGATAGGTGAACTTCTCTAGGCATCATTTTGATTTTTTGGCACTATTGTTAAAGGTACTTTTGTCTCAAGTTCCTCCCTTTAGTAGCAATTCTAATGATAATGGAAATTTTTATCTTTTACCATCCGTGGGCCTGGATCCTGGGCTCCCAGAGAAGCTATCCTTTAACATTTTACCAAGGTCAAAATGACTGGGCCAAGCCTCAGAGTATGGGTCCTATTTCTGTCCCAAGCACATATTGTACATCTGGTTTGAGAAGAAAAAGATAATCCCAAAATGCCATTGCAAACATAAAGATAAGAAAAACAAAAGAACCTCTCTGGCTTCCATAAGATTAGAGTCATACCAACTTGTACAAACTGAAAACATAAGAGAAAGTCTGTCACTTTCTTGAATGTTCTTCCTCATGATGATATGTAACTCTGTATGTAAATCAACACAGAACAAATATATAAACCTGCCTCAAATGTTCCTTCCCCGGAGCACTCCCTTTTTTGTGAAGATTGTGTCTCCCAGGCAGCTGTCCTGACTTGGGTTTGAATAAAACTCTCTTCCTTTTTCTCTAAAGTGTTTAAAAGGGTTTGTTCATTCAGTGTCGAGAATAACAATATGTTTTCTTTTTAAGTGAAAAATAAATGTTCCTCGTTCACAACTCCAACAGCAGAGAAGGGCGGCTGTTCTTCATCCTGGAGCTTCCCTGCAGAACCAAGCATATGTATATATATTCCAGCATAAACGGGCTCATCCTACAAGGATGCTTTGAAGGTCCAAGAAGCACTATCCAGTCCATGGGTGAGACCAGAAGGCGGAGCTCTTCACGTTTAGAGCATTAGTTTTTGGGTTTAAAACTGCCTTGGAAATGCGTGAAACATTGCATTTCCTAAAGCCCAAAGCCTCAGAAGGTCCGAGCGCAGCTGATCTTGCCGGGAGCCGGGAACAGCTCTGCAGGCAGGGGTTGGTGCAGGAAGGGAAGGGGCAGGGCTCTGGGGGTGGTCTGCAGCCAGAGGCGGCCGCGGAATGGGCCGGGTGTGTGTGGGGGGGCGGACCCCGCCCATAGCCCCCGCCCCCGCCTGCGCCGCCGAGCCAGGTGTTGGCGTGAGGACGGGCCTCCTGGACCACCTGCCGTCGTAGGGAGCCGCGGGCCTGAAGGCGGGTTGGCCGGTAGAGGCAGGCGCGGCATCCAATGGGCTCGGGGCACCACCCTCCCCGACCAATCACCGCGTGGGGGTGGAGTTACCTCTCTGAGGGAGGACCCGGAGCGGCCCCGGATGCAGAGGTGGGGCAGAAGGCCAGCTCCCAGAGAGTTCACCTGTAGAGTTCCCGGCTGGGTGAGACCACGCTGTGGGCCGGGGTGGGGTCCCGGGGGTAGGGTGCACCTCGGGTGGGAGTTGGGTCCTCGAAGGAGGCGGGCAGCGAGCTAATCCCGCGAACTCAGATGAGTTTCCTAATCGTTGAAAGTCCTTCAACGGGCCGTATCCCCCAGCCCCGTGAACTCCAGGGCTCCGCTCACCCGAGCTTTTTTGGGATGGGTTGCGGACATTTCAGGGTTTCCCGTGTTCCCCTGGAAGAGTGCACGTAAGGACCGCACACAGTCCCCAAGTTCAGTGGGGTGCCCCCTGTCCCCTGGCAGAGTGCAGGTAATGGACCTTGAGTAGCACCCCGAGTTCAGCAGGGTGTCCCCTGTTCCCCCAGGCACAGGTGTGGCGGTAACAAGCCCCAGAGCCGTCCTCCAACTTAGCATTGTGCCCCATGTTCCCCGGGTATGGTGGTAATGGGCTGTCAGGATTGTGCAGGAGGGTCCTCCAGGTGGGGGCCTGGAGGCTGGAGTAAACTAGACCCTACTCAAGTTGCATGAGGAACAGATGAGTTGAGGTGTTGATTTGGAAGAGTCATTTCGCGTTTCCAAAAATGTCAAAGTCATTGGTCTACTTTAGAATGAAGATAATTAGTACTTAAAAAACAAGTATGTGTTTCCCCTTCTCCCAGAAACCGAAGCAGGTGTGCTTGCCATAGGTCGGAGGTCCTACTTATCCCCACCTGACAGCACTTCTCCCCTCTGGCTCCATGAGACCCGAAGTTTTGAACATCAGCATGTGAGTCAGTGATGCTGCTTGTCACAGGACGTCAGCATTCAGAGAGAGCAGCAGGTCCATTTGGTACAATGTCATCTTCAAGTCAGGACTGGAGGTAAAACTTCTGATTAACCCCAAACCTCCTGGGCTTTCCTCTTTTTTCTAGTTGAGCTACGAAGTAAAACTTAAGTAGCTCTCAGCATTCTCCATTTGGTTCAAGAGTTACTTTCCCTGCGGGTAGAACATTGCAGGGGATCCGATTTTCTCTGTTCATTTATTGCTTACAAAATATATTCTGATCATCTGTTTCCTAGAAGTAACTTTTATTAGAAAGAGAAGGTGAAATTTACTCTTTGTGTGTTTTTAAGATATCTTTTGTTCCTCAATCTAATAGCGTTTATTCAATTGGGCCTAGGATATGGTTGAGTGGCCAGCATCTAGAGTTAGGTGGCTTTTTGTCGTCAGATACAGATTCGGATGATGTCTTGTCATTTGTCAAAGGTGATGTTTCATAATTGATTAGTGTTTTCATCAGAAGAGTTACAGTTAGGGTCAAGGGAAAAATCAAAATTATTCAAAGCAGGCTTTTACTGTTTAAAAGTTGAGCCTGAGTTTCTAGTTTTTCTAAATGTATCATCTAGATATTTTGACATGCTGTATTTTCTCTGTAGTTTCTTTGGTGGTGGAGTCAGAAGGAGAGTGTTTGGGAATTCTGGATGGAGGCATGCTGGTGTCAGGAGCACTGGGTTGAGTTCTGGAACTGCTTGCCTGAGCCTAGGTGCGTCAGGTTATCCCACAGAGCTTCCGTTGACTCCTTATGAAATTTGTGGAAGGTAATATCTATGGAACGTCTTTTTTTTTAAACATTTTATTTATTTATTTGACAGAGAGAGAGATAGCGAGTGGGAACACAAGCGGGGGTGGGGGGTGGGAGAGGGAGAAGCAGGCTCCCCGCTGAACAGGGAGCCTGATGCGGGGCTCGATCCCAGGACCCCAAGATCACCACCTGAGCCGAAGGCAGACGCCTAACGACTGAGCCACCCAGGCGCCCCTCTATGGAAAGTCTTTTTCCACAGAAACTGTTTTGCCTAATGAAGAGCCATTAAAATTGAGGTGAATGGGCTGAATTATTCTGTAAATAATAGTTTTAATCCCCCCGTCATAGGATATGGTATTTTATTATACAAGGAGTCCTCAGAAGGTTGCAGTGAAAGAATCCGATCTCAGAGCATGTTCATATTCCATTGATATGTTACTTACAGTTTGCACAGGTAGGAAGGTAAATGGAGAGAAATACGACAGAAGGGGAAAGTAGGTGTGAACCATTCATTAAGTAGCCTTCTACCTTTGGGCCAGTGTCATTTTGGAAGAAGAGGGGGAATCCTGGAGCTCTGCAGCAGATGGGGGAGTTCCAGGTCTGGGTAAAGCTGACAGGGGCCTCAGAGGAGAGCTGAGTGCATTATGCAGGAGGGTGTGGGCAGGGCGGGCTCCAGGGCTGGCTGTGGGTCTCCCGTGTGAGAGTTGTGACAGGTGAGGGCCGTGAGCAGGTTCCTGGCTGAGGACAGGTGAGGCCCAAGTGGAGAGCTGGCCGAGCACCTTCTTCTTTGCCACTAGGCTCACCCAACACACACAACCTCATCATCTGTCCCTGTTAGTCCAGTTCAGACGTCTCAGAGTTGCCAGGCCGAGACGTTTGTTTGAGCTTCTTTCTTTGTGTGTGAAGTTTCAAAACTTTGATTATGGAAATGACGGGTCGTCAGAACATCTGTTACTCTTTCATTTCCTGCTCTTTTTTCTTTTTTAAAAATTTTTAAAAATTTTTTATTTAGCAACTTTTTTTTTTTTATCCTGCTTTTTTTTCAATCACCGAAGAGAATCATTCCTGCTAGTGGAAGGGGCTATCTGTGTGTTTTTATTTCCCATTTTAATTAAACAATGGGAAAACAATCTTCAAAGATATTAAAAGAATCCTTTGTGAGTGTTCATGTTTTCCTGTTCCATGTACCACATTCCGATATTAGAAATTATGTTTTAAAGTAAAACACAGCCGCAGATCTGTAACAGGGTACGGTGCCCTTTGTGAGAGGGACACATGGAGAAGGAGTGTAGGTTCTTTAGGAGCTTGGGGAGTGTCTCGTCGTGCTCCCAAAGGAAATCGAGCCCCCTGTTAGCCTTCCCAATGGGGCTGCTTACCTGGTGGCCCATCTTGGGCTCTGGAAGCTTGACCCCGTGAGTCGCTTGCGACTTGAGCTGGGGAATTTATGAAGAAAACAAGGAATCCTGGAGGGTGCCTGCATCCTTTGTGCTCGGACAACTGCATGTCGCAAAGGAACCCATCACCCGTGAGGCGTGTCGGGATCCCTGAGGGTGTGGGCCTCGCTTCCTGGGCTGAGGTTGTGTCTTCCTCCTTATCTGGACCAGAGCCAGGGTGTGTGGCTATGGAGATCCAGACCCTTATGTGACCATGTCATTATTATTATTATTATTTTAAGAGAGCAATATAGACATTGACTTCGAGATACAAATATCAAAAGGAAAAACACAAGGTCAAATATACATATAATGACTCAACTCATGGCATGTCTCATTCGTATGGGTCATGTAGGGCTGCCCGTATGAGAAAGACGAAGGAGTTATATTTTGATAGAAGTGTGCTGTGCACACATAGTGTTTTATTCTCTCATTTGCCTTATTTCTTTGAAGGGAAACTAGAGCGGTGACTGGAGCTTGGTTTCCGACTTTAAGGAATGGGAGACAAGTGAATTGAAAGAGCAGTGTTGATGTTGACATGGTGCTCAGTGCCCAATGAGCGAATGTTTGAAGCTCGGACTCGGAAGCGTTGGTGTTCAGCGAGGATGTTGTCCGAGTTTCTAGCACATGGAGTCACTTGGCTGGTGTGCCTCATCGGGCCAGTTCCTGCCTTTCTAAGGGCAGCTTGGAAGTGGCTTGAAACCCTAGGGCATTTGTGGAGTGGCCTGGATGGGACAGCTGTGTGGGCCAGTGTAGACACCACCCAGGGAATTCCAGAGGTAATGATGAGCACATATGTGAGGCTGGAGTTTGCTTCTCCGTGAGAAGCATTGAGCTGGAGTGGAAAGAAGTCGCTGGGTCTTATGACTCTCTGTGTGAGCAGGTCTGAGCCTGGCAGGGTAGTCGGATCAGATAGGTGGGAGGTTGTGACGCCGTGGTGGTGGACCATCGCTCACGATGGGCAGGCCAGCTTGCTCCAGGGATAGGGACTGGGCTCTCCTCCCTGGCCAGCCCTCCTGCTGCAGATGTGATAAGAGAGTTGCTTCCTGTTTGGTTCTCGAGCCCTCGGCTCAGCAGGGTGGTTGGTGGGAAGCAGCTCACTCGCAGCATTATCGATTCTTGTGCAGTGTGCCCCCTGCTTCCTCAGAGGAGGCACAGCAGATGTCCTGTGCAGCAAAGCTTGGTTTGTGATGACATCACAGGAAAGAGGGACAGGTGCACCACTCTGCTTGACCACAGGAGGATTCCGGACTTCAATCACAGGTGGTTGGTGCAGGGAGGAGAGATGTTTGTTTCCCAGGACCTTGGGCAAAGGGAGATTTGGGTCCTGGGATGGGTCTCTGCTCAGCTTTCTCAGATGAGCACCTCAGGCAAGGAGAGGACGTGTGTGTGCTCACCTGTAATCGAGGAAAGTGTCTGGTTTCAGGTCTCATGGGCAGGTGGAGTCCTCGTATGGCTCATTTTCCTGATGGTGTTCAGGGTGCAGTAGGTGGACCCCCTTGTCCCGGGCATCCTGGCTGTGCAAGAGCTCTGGGGCACCTTTTCCCCGGGGCTTTGGACCAGGAAATCGGAGGTAGTCCGTGGTGAAACCATCCGTGTAGGCCTCCGTTTCTGCCCTGCCGAGATGGACTGGTGACTGTGATAAGTTCTATATGTGGAAATATAGAGCAGGAGACAGGGCTGGCATGCTGAAGGGGAGGTGGGGGTGGTGCTTGCCATTCACGTAGGGGCCAGGTGGGACTTCACTAGGAAGGTGATCCTTGAGTCAAGATCTAAAGAAGGTGAGTGAAATCACATCAAGCGCATTCTAAACGGAAGGGAAAGCGTGTGCAAAGGCCCCAGGGCAGGAGCATACCAGGTATGTCCAGGAGCATCAAGAAGGCCCTGTGGCCACAGGAGACAGCTTAGGACATGGCCTCAGGGAGGGGACAGAGGGAGACAGAAAGTCACTGCAGGGCTGTGACCCCATGGGACCCTGTTTCACTGGGCCTTCCTGGCTACAGTGCTGAGAACAGGTGACAGAGGGTTGAGGATGGGCAAGGGAGGTCCATGATGAAGCTTTTCCAGGAATTCAGGCAAGAGATGGGCTCCAGTGTGGGCCAGACAGGTGGTCTCGGAAGAAGTGGTTAGTCCTATTCTGAGTACATTTTGAAGATGGAGCTCACAGGATTTGCCAATGAATTAGATATTGGGAGTGGCAGAAAGGAGGAATTGGGGTAACTCCCAGCTGTGGTTTGTTGTCCTGAGGAAGGGGAAGGAGGAGGTTTCTGGGGGTAGGAGGTAGTCCGTGTTCCCCATGCTGAGGAAGGTGCCTCTCACGGTGGATCTGCTGATGCGTGTGTCCGGGAGAACATTTAACATCTCCTCCCTCAGCAACTTTCAAGTACAAGTATCCCCCACTTTTTAAAAGTTCATGGTAAGACATTTGGGTTTTTTGAAAGATCTACGTCATTACTCGGCTTCAGTAACAGGAAGAAACCTGAAGAGGATTTCCCTCTTATGAAAGAAGTCGAAAAGTGAGCCTCGCGTTCAGCATCTGTTTTGCAGGGAGCCACTGCAGAGGCAGCCTGCACCCCAACCAGCTCCTTCCTGGGAACTGCTCTCTGCGTCCAGCCCTCAGCACTTTGAATCGTGTCTGTGAGCATCTGCTGTGTTTCATCTCCATTTATTTTGGGCATCCCTTAGGAAGTTGTGCCCTGAGGCCTAGGAAAAGCCAAAGAGAAGTCATTTTTGGAGTGTGAGCACGCTCACTATTTTTTCTGTATAAATGAATGGTAATTCCTCCTTTGGTTTACACCATTTCTGCTGTGAAAGGTTTCCTAGGAACACTGTACTTTCAAATAGCGGGGGGACCTGTACCCCATCCTGCAGGGTTAGCTTTAGTCTCCATGCTGCAGAAAACATTCCATGACTTACGCATTTTATCACTCAAACATGTGCCTTTGACCACCTTCCCACGTGCCCCCCCATCCCCGAACCTGGCAACCACCCATCTGTTCTCAGTATCTATGCGTTCAGTATTTTTGTTTCCGTGTGGAATGTCCATGACAGCACCTGGTATTTGTCTTTCTGAGTCTGAGTTACTTAGCATAATGCTCCCAAGGTCTCTGTTTCGATGTCTGGTTACTGTGAATAATGCTGCAGTGAACATGCATCTGTGTTTTCGAGGTAGTGTTTTTGTGTTCTCCAAAGAAATCCACTCAGTAGAGCCATTCCTGGGTCATGTGATAGTTGTATTTATTTTTTCAGGAAACTCCATACTGTTTGTCACAGTGGCTGCACCAGTTTACATTCCCACCAACAGTGCACAGGGTCCCCTTGTCTACACACCCTTGACCACACCTGGTGTCTGTCTCTGGGATGATTGCCGTCCCTACAGTTGTGAGATGATAGCTGATTGCGGTTTTGACATAGGTTTTCTTGACGACGATTAGTGATGTTGAACAACTTTTTCTGTGTCTGTTGGCCATGCGGGTGCCATCTTTGGAAAGTATGTATTCACATATTCTCCCCATTCTTTGTACAGGTCTTTTTTGTTTGTGTCTTTTGATTTGTAGGAGTGTTTTGTGTATTTTGGATATTA